GATTCCTTTATATTTGTATACGTACTATTATAAATAAAACTTTGATACTTCTATTGGAGATTTTCCACTAAATCCAACAATAATTCCGTTAAGAAAACAACCACTATATCGAAAGAACAAATGCAATGAATTCAACACATAATTATCCTAATTCTCGTTGCGTTATTGGACACCACTATAGAAGCTAATACCTCACAAATATTATATCATATTAGTAGTTATATGTAAGACTCGTTCTATTTTAGTGAAAATGTTTAAAATATCTATCTCAATTAGTTTTACTAATTTATAAAAATATCAGTCGTATATTCTTTATTACATGTTATTTGTATAGTTTATACTAACTGTTAGAAATATTATATCTTTTATCTTTATCTTTTATCTTTCAGTTAGTTTGTTATTATTTCTTATTTGTATTTTGGGCTTAGCCTATACTTCTTCTATTATAAATAGAGAATTCTATGTGTGTTTAACACAAGGGAGATTAATCCATAAATAATTTTCACTATATTTAACATGGTATCAGAGCAGGTTTTCTGATATCTTCCAGTGGTCTTTGTTGTCTGCCGGCGGCCGACCGTCATGGTCGCCGGCAGCCCCTAAAAATATCCAGAATCAGAGACAAGTCTCCTAGAAACCACTGCCTCCTCTGAATGACCGGACCGAAACCACTGCCTCCTCTGAATGACCGAACCTCCCTCTCTCTGTTCAGACCTTCCAGAGCAGCCATTGCTGCCATCGACGTCTGTCTTCTTCTCGCCGCATGCTTCCGCATCTTCGGACCTCCTTCTTCTTTCTGCGTTTTTCGTGTGTAGTAGAGGGTTTCGCCTCTGTAGTAGAGGGTTTCGCCTCTGTAGTAGAGGGTTTCGCCTCTGTAGTAGAGGGTTTCGCCTCTGTAGTAGAGGGTTTCGCCTCTGTAGTAGAGGGTTTCGCCTCTGTAGTAGAGGGTTTCGCCTCTGTAGTAGAGGGTTTCGCCTCTGTAGTAGAGGGTTTCGCCTCTGTAGTAGAGGGTTTCGCCTCTGTAGTAGAGGGTTTCGCCTCTGTAGTAGAGGGTTTCGCCTCTGTAGTAGAGGGTTTCGCCTCTGTAGTAGAGGGTTTCGCCTCTGTAGTAGAGGGTTTCGCCTCTGTAGTAGAGGGTTTCGCCTCTGTAGTAGAGGGTTTCGCCTCTGTAGTAGAGGGTTTCGCCTCTGTAGTAGAGGGTTTCGCCTCTGTAGTAGAGGGTTTCGCCTCTGTAGTAGAGGGTTTCGCCTCTGTAGTAGAGGGTTTCGCCTCTGTAGTAGAGGGTTTCGCCTCTGTAGTAGAGGGTTTCGCCTCTGTAGTAGAGGGTTTCGCCTCTGTAGTAGAGGGTTTCGCCTCTGTAGTAGAGGGTTTCGCCTCTGTAGTAGAGGGTTTCGCCTCTGTAGTAGAGGGTTTCGCCTCTGTAGTAGAGGGTTTCGCCTCTGTAGTAGAGGGTTTCGCCTCTGTAGTAGAGGGTTTCGCCTCTGTAGTAGAGGGTTTCGCCTCTGTAGTAGAGGGTTTCGCCTCTGTAGTAGAGGGTTTCGCCTCTGTAGTAGAGGGTTTCGCCTCTGTAGTAGAGGGTTTCGCCTCTGTAGTAGAGGGTTTCGCCTCTGTAGTAGAGGGTTTCGCCTCTGTAGTAGAGGGTTTCGCCTCTGTAGTAGAGGGTTTCGCCTCTGTAGTAGAGGGTTTCGCCTCTGTAGTAGAGGGTTTCGCCTCTGTAGTAGAGGGTTTCGCCTCTGTAGTAGAGGGTTTCGCCTCTGTAGTAGAGGGTTTCGCCTCTGTAGTAGAGGGTTTCGCCTCTGTAGTAGAGGGTTTCGCCTCTGTAGTAGAGGGTTTCGCCTCTGTAGTAGAGGGTTTCGCCTCTGTAGTAGAGGGTTTCGCCTCTGTAGTAGAGGGTTTCGCCTCTGTAGTAGAGGGTTTCGCCTCTGTAGTAGAGGGTTTCGCCTCTGTAGTAGAGGGTTTCGCCTCTGTAGTAGAGGGTTTCGCCTCTGTAGTAGAGGGTTTCGCCTCTGTAGTAGAGGGTTTCGCCTCTGTAGTAGAGGGTTTCGCCTCTGTAGTAGAGGGTTTCGCCTCTGTAGTAGAGGGTTTCGCCTCTGTAGTAGAGGGTTTCGCCTCTGTAGTAGAGGGTTTCGCCTCTGTAGTAGAGGGTTTCGCCTCTGTAGTAGAGGGTTTCGCCTCTGTAGTAGAGGGTTTCGCCTCTGTAGTAGAGGGTTTCGCCTCTGTAGTAGAGGGTTTCGCCTCTGTAGTAGAGGGTTTCGCCTCTGTAGTAGAGGGTTTCGCCTCTGTAGTAGAGGGTTTCGCCTCTGTAGTAGAGGGTTTCGCCTCTGTAGTAGAGGGTTTCGCCTCTGTAGTAGAGGGTTTCGCCTCTGTAGTAGAGGGTTTCGCCTCTGTAGTAGAGGGTTTCGCCTCTGTAGTAGAGGGTTTCGCCTCTGTAGTAGAGGGTTTCGCCTCTGTAGTAGAGGGTTTCGCCTCTGTAGTAGAGGGTTTCGCCTCTGTAGTAGAGGGTTTCGCCTCTGTAGTAGAGGGTTTCGCCTCTGTAGTAGAGGGTTTCGCCTCTGTAGTAGAGGGTTTCGCCTCTGTAGTAGAGGGTTTCGCCTCTGTAGTAGAGGGTTTCGCCTCTGTAGTAGAGGGTTTCGCCTCTGTAGTAGAGGGTTTCGCCTCTGTAGTAGAGGGTTTCGCCTCTGTAGTAGAGGGTTTCGCCTCTGTAGTAGAGGGTTTCGCCTCTGTAGTAGAGGGTTTCGCCTCTGTAGTAGAGGGTTTCGCCTCTGTAGTAGAGGGTTTCGCCTCTGTAGTAGAGGGTTTCGCCTCTGTAGTAGAGGGTTTCGCCTCTGTAGTAGAGGGTTTCGCCTCTGTAGTAGAGGGTTTCGCCTCTGTAGTAGAGGGTTTCGCCTCTGTAGTAGAGGGTTTCGCCTCTGTAGTAGAGGGTTTCGCCTCTGTAGTAGAGGGTTTCGCCTCTGTAGTAGAGGGTTTCGCCTCTGTAGTAGAGGGTTTCGCCTCTGTAGTAGAGGGTTTCGCCTCTGTAGTAGAGGGTTTCGCCTCTGTAGTAGAGGGTTTCGCCTCTGTAGTAGAGGGTTTCGCCTCTGTAGTAGAGGGTTTCGCCTCTGTAGTAGAGGGTTTCGCCTCTGTAGTAGAGGGTTTCGCCTCTGTAGTAGAGGGTTTCGCCTCTGTAGTAGAGGGTTTCGCCTCTGTAGTAGAGGGTTTCGCCTCTGTAGTAGAGGGTTTCGCCTCTGTAGTAGAGGGTTTCGCCTCTGTAGTAGAGGGTTTCGCCTCTGTAGTAGAGGGTTTCGCCTCTGTAGTAGAGGGTTTCGCCTCTGTAGTAGAGGGTTTCGCCTCTGTAGTAGAGGGTTTCGCCTCTGTAGTAGAGGGTTTCGCCTCTGTAGTAGAGGGTTTCGCCTCTGTAGTAGAGGGTTTCGCCTCTGTAGTAGAGGGTTTCGCCTCTGTAGTAGAGGGTTTCGCCTCTGTAGTAGAGGGTTTCGCCTCTGTAGTAGAGGGTTTCGCCTCTGTAGTAGAGGGTTTCGCCTCTGTAGTAGAGGGTTTCGCCTCTGTAGTAGAGGGTTTCGCCTCTGTAGTAGAGGGTTTCGCCTCTGTAGTAGAGGGTTTCGCCTCTGTAGTAGAGGGTTTCGCCTCTGTAGTAGAGGGTTTCGCCTCTGTAGTAGAGGGTTTCGCCTCTATATTGCTATTCTTGCCTTGTTCTTCCTTTCTTATTGTATCTGCCGCACAGATCTGCTGCGTTTATTGCCTCCTTCTCCGCTGCTCTCCTTCATCCACTTCTGAAGTTGAAGTGTTTATTGCCTCCTTCTCCGCTGCTCTCCTTCATCCACTTTTGAAGTTGAAGTGTTTATTGCCTCCTTCTCCACTGCTGTTTGTTCATTGAGATGTGATAACCCATCTCTGCTTGCCTCACACTCTTGAAGACAAATCATCTAGTTCAAAATCAAGTTCAATTATTTCAAGCTTGGTTCATACAATTTGTATGCTCCAGCTTGAGGGGGAGTGTTAGAAATATTATATCTTTTATCTTTATCTTTTATCTTTCAGTTAGTTTGTTATTATTTCTTATTTGTATTTTGGGCTTAGCCTATACTTCTTCTATTATAAATAGAGAATTCTATGTGTGTTTAACACAAGGGAGATTAATCCATAAATAATTTTCACTATATTTAACACTAACCTAAACAATACGAAATAAATTAATGTTTTTTTGTCATTTTTAAACCATGTTTATATAATTTCAAAATAATTTATAATCTTCTTGTTTCTTTTATTCATAATACATTAATTAATATTAATATGTATATACGTATTTTTTTAAACTACAAGAATGAATTGACATATTTAATTGTTTTATTTTTTCATTATATTACAGTATACTTATTTTTATATTTTATTAATTTTTTTCATGCATTCAATTTTTAATTTTTTTAATTTAATTTATTATTCAAAATTTCTACATATAAATGTTTTATCATCAAATAGTATTTCATAGTTTAAAATTATTTTCAATTAATATTATTACTTCAACAGATTAAAAATGTAATTTTATTAGTTAAATATTTCATTATTCATCCACATTAAAAATTTTGAACTATTTTTTTATTTCACAAAAAATTACTTTATTAATTACCAATGGAACAATTTAACAAACAAATTGTAATTAACAATGTAACATAATAATTGTAACTGGCAACATCAGTTAAAGTAGATCCAGTTTTGACCGTAATCAGTAAATACGTATTGGTATATAATGTTAAGATGAAGTTTATTTGTTTAATATATTTTGAAAATAAGTTTAATTAAAAAAAATACACTCGAGGAAAGTTATAATCTAAATAAAGAGAAAGCAGTATAGATAAGATATAAACTTTAATTATTCTTATTCTTATTATTGATGATGTTTTAAAAAAAAATTCATTCAATTGACAAGTTAAAATATTAATATTTTATTTATATTTATCTGATTTGGTTACTTAATAAATATATATATTTTAAATTAACAGGCTATCTTTTTAAGATAGTCGAATCTTATTATAGTGAGCCATGCGATGATTTATTACAACGAAATAAGCATTTAGTTAGCGCATAGATTATGTTGGTCACCGAATAGAAAGAAACTAGGCATGACTTTTTAGGAGCAGTGATGGTTCATGGAGATCAGTTGCAGATGATGCAGGCGAAAGTCTCTCAAACCGAACCCATAAGGCTGTGCTAGCAATCTGGGTGACCACCAAATGCCTGTTTCTAGCAGCATCAAACATAACCCCAACATAACCACACGAACTAATGTCATCAGGACAGAACAAGATGTTGTAGCCCCCAATGTCATAAGGAACACTCTGAATCTTAAACCAACCGCTTACGGTGTTGTCGTATCCAGTAAGTTTAACAGAGAGTTCTCCTTCCTCACCCTTCACAGGAGTCCACAGAGACGGAGTGGGAGCACACAGGGGCACAGCAATGAACCCAAAGTCCAAATTATCGCCTTCGCCTAAATAAAGGATTCTTAATGGGGATGAAATTTGTACCGGGAAGCCCATAGAGAAAGGATTGGGATTTTGGACAACGGACAAAGGACAAGTTTCGTTTCCCGTTGCTGCATATTCTACTCCACCCCCGTTGCCACTTATTATAACTGGCCTCAGACCGTATAGGCCACCATTTCGAAGAGGTTTACCTTCAGTGTCCACCACATCAGCCATGGCTAATGGAAGTTTCCACGTGAAGGCACAAAGTAGAAACAGAGAGAAGAAGGTCGTAAACTTCATTTTTTGGAAGGCTCTACAAGGCTTATCTTCTGTTTGTGTGAACGAATAATCTAGGAAACATGTATTTATAGACGCGCGAGTACAGAGGCAGAGACCACCACATGATGTTTTCTAGTTTGAGTGAACGATGTTTTATCTATTTTATGTGGTTCAACTTTTCTCAGTACAGAGACCATGAGCAAAGTAGGTTAAACGTGGAATGTAAGGAGTTTACAGAGACTGCAAGAGTTTCAAGCTTTCTCTTAAATCCACATTTTAAAATGAAGTCTTCATCTCCTTTATCTCTAATAACTTTGTATGGTGATAAGCTTCTCCCAAAGTTGAATCACGTGAATGAACCAAACTTATTCATAACAATTTATAAGCTGAAAAAAAAAAAGTTTCAAAAGAACAAGATTTTTATAACAAATTTATAAATTTTTATAAAATACATTATGGTTCTTATGAGAGAACACGTGTTTTTTTTTCTCTTCATCTTTATTGGAAGAGAAAATTAAAAAGAAATTTAAGATGCATTACAGTTAAAAAATCAAATACCATATTTTTTCATTTGTATTATTTTTAATAATCAATTCAATTTTCGTATACTACTATTGAATATTAAAAAATACTTTTTTCATTAAAAATTTTATGGTTAATTTATGATCGATCTCGTTGGCTATTCATAACAACATCTGCATCTCCTTTATTTCTTATAATTTTGTAAGGCATATCTCATTGTAGCGGTGATAAGCTTCTTTCAAAGTTGAATCACGTGAATGAGCCATAGCTGTTGATAAAAAAGTTATAAGCTGAAGGAAACAATTTCAAAAGAACAAGATTTTTATAAAATAAATTTTAACTATTTAAATAATTTATTATACCAATTTTTTAATTTTATTTTAATTGTCCTTTAAATTTATTTCATCAATATTATAAATAACAAAAAGATAGCTGTGAAATTGATTTCATAGAACAACTCTTGGTATTTAATTGAAGGGCATCTATTCATAGACTACAAGATCACAAATGTCAGGTTCACTATTTCATCCTTACCACCCTTATCTTTAAAGTGAAAACTCGTTTTCATTTTTATCTCTGTTTAACATACAGGCAATTTTGAACATATCTCATCTCTGTTAATGAGCATACACGTATTCATCTTTTAATATTTCAAATATTAATTAAATTATTTAAAAATATAAAAATTAAAGATTGATTATTTACCATGAGGGGAGGAAAACCTCCATACAGGCGATATTCTGAAATTCATCTTTCAAGTTGAATTCAAGGGAAAATTTGTGCCCTTCACCTCCACGAATCCAATAAAAAAATCTCCTTCAAAGGTCCAGAAGCAGCAGCCGACTATTTGGCAAATATTGAAGAAATGACTGACAATATAAGTGATAAAAAAAAATCAAAGTAACAGATATAGACGAGAGAGCCAGGGTTCAAGAACATAAAAAACAAAAAGATTACAACAGAAGAAGACAAATGAGTAAAACAATAAATTGGACTTATATTATACGAGGTAAAAAAAATGAAGGGAGAAAATAAAATGAAAGGTATCTATTTTAAAGTGATTAATAATTGGGTTAAAACAGAAGAATATATTTATTGTAAATTGTATTGAATATTAATCCTATAAATCTAATATGATTTGATAGTTAAGATATAAATTGGCCACTATTAGTGTTAAAATATGGCTGAAATGAAAAAGGGCACTAGTGTAGTCAAATAACCGCAACTAAATAACTATTCTTGTTGATTGAAACATTGTGGTAATTTTGAAATAAAAGCCAACTTTTCTACAACGGTTCCCTCTCAAGCGTAGTTAAAAGCTCTAAGTTAGAGAAACAACGATAGTTCCAAAGTTGAATCATCGTAAAAAAAAATGTTTGAGTTGAGAAACAACAACGGTTCCTATATTGAACAATCATCAAATCTCAATGTACTACTTATTATCTTTTTTGCTTTTCTTCACTATTCTTACTCTCCGACCTTTTCTCCCTTTGTGTTATTGTACTTCAGTCATTGCATTACCTTCTGTTTCTGTTGAAATGAGACGAGGATTAACCGCCTGTGAGATCTTCCTTGTGCCAAACGTTTCTCCACTTTGTGCTCTGGTTACTGATCAGCGTATGGGGGGTGACCTGCAGAACACACTCTGACGCTCAAGTAAGAATTTTTCTTTGTAGGCCTTTAGTAATTCAATATGAGTCAAAGTAAAAGTTTACCTCGAATTAAACCCTTATTTATAGAGTTTAAAAGAATCTGACCAATTAATTTACCTCTTAATGATCATTATGCAAACCTTAATCGCTTAATAGTAGTCGTTGTGACATTAATTGCGCCTTAACTCTAGTCAACAGTTGTCGGGACCGAGCGGTCAAGAGATGCTTTCCTGGCATGTCAACCGCTCAAATCTTTCCAACTATCTTGCCACCTTACCCGATCGGTAGGCTATAAGCCCATAGTAACATAGGCCCCTCAAGCCCTAACAACATGGATTTTGCGTAGGGTTTTGAAGTCTTGATCGTTCGGTTTAGGGTTTTTGAGTTGTGAGCTCATCAATCGCCACGTCCCTTCAATATCTGCAAAATGACGGGAAGAGCAGAAGTCGAAGAGTCACGGCTGAAAAAATGGGCAGAAAAAGGTGATAACATAACGTCACGATGCTTGAATCGTCAAATCTTTTCCCTTTGAAGGCCTAGATGAATTTGGTAACCACCTTTACCCTCTATAAATAGTAGTAGGGTCACCCCATTTTTTCACTTTTACCCTCGATATCTCCATAAACCGCACGGTTTCCTTGCCCTTTCCTCCTTTCAAGAGCTTCAAACTCAGTTTTTCAGGTAAACATGTCCTCTCAATTTGTTTCTTCTGACTCCACCAGAGGAGAAGGCGAGGGGTATGTTGACAACAGAGTTGCTACATCTTCCTTCACCACCTATGGTGCCCTTGACGAAAGGAATTCCCCCTTCGGCAACTAGTTCGGGCCGTCAGGCAGTGAGGATTCCTCATGCATTCTGGAAGACAATGACGTCGAAGAAGTGGGTATCAACGTGGACTTCACTGGTGCTTGGGATAGAAGACCAAAAAAATGGCCCATCGTCACCGGCTATGATTAGGCTCCCCACGAGGTAAAGCAAATCACTTCCTCTTTCCACTTCTGCCCTCCCATCAAAGATCTTATTTGAGGACTTGGCCTAGTGAAGACGGCCATGGATGGGGATTATTTTAAAATAGTCGTCTGCCGGATGATCGAACTAGCATGCCACGGTCGGGAGGGATATGCCTCAGACTTCTTTTATGCCTACTCCACCTTGTTCAAGGACTTAAAAGTCCTTATCCCATTCTTTGAGTTCCAAATGGGTGTTCTACAAGAGCTCAATGCTCCTACCCAACTGCACCCGAACAGTTGGGCCTTCATGCGGGCATTCTCGGCTGTCTACAAAGCTCTTGCCCTTCGTCCCACTCCTTGCGACTTCCTCTACTTCTTCTGCCTGATGCCACACCCACATAAGCCTTGGGTTTCCCTTAATTCCGTACCGGAGAGACATCTTTTTACGCTGTTCAACACCTCCTACAAGGATTTTAAAGGGAACTTTGTCAAGGTGGTCATTTTGGAGGTCGGTCGTCCAAGCTTTTATTTCCCAAACGGCCAACCCAAATTTCCCTTCTACTGGACTGATCATCCTAAGAAGGTTGTCTCCTGGCCCAAATCCAGAATGACGCCTGAGGAGTTAGACATGGTCCGCCAACTTAGTCAGCTGCCTCTTAAGTCCTCCTCCCCCAAGTTGATAGGATTTCTGGGCAATAAAATTGTTTGTAAAATTCAGGAAAAAGAAAATATCTAGAAAGGTGATATGAGCGTGGACAATATTAATTAAAATGACAAAATATAAGTTATACAGAAGTAAAGTGTGACATAGTTAGTTAAAGTTTTTTATTTTAAGTTGGAGGTCATGTGTTTTATTCTTATTGTATGCATAAGACATGTTTTATTTCTTTTATTTTTATAATATTTGAACATGTGGTTCGTGATATCAATTGTATTATTTTTCGGGCACGTGTATGATAAGATAAATGTGATGTTATATACCTTGTTTTAACGTGTTGTCCTCTCTTTTGTTCTATATAATGTTCATATATGGTTCTTATGTTTATTGGTGGATATAATCTTTGTTGTTGGTGATGGGAGTTTCTATGAGTATGTATACGTTGATTTAGTGGTGGGAAAATTCTATATTTATGGTTTATGTTCTAGTTACAAGAGAAGTAATTATCAGGATATATGAAATATCTTTGAGACAATATTATAGTTTAATTTTGAAATTTTTGAATATTATTATAAGTTATAATTAAATTAATTATTATTTTCTTAGGATTTTAATTGTGTTCATGTAAGAACTTAGAAAATATATTATGAGTTGATAGGTGTTTTAAAATAATGAGACCAAGTATTTTAATGTTAAAATAATTCAATAGTACAAATATAATGTCATAAACTCGTCTCATTATCTAAAACACTCACCATCTCTCTAAAACTCTTTCTCTGAGTTCCCTTTCCCTTCTCTCTGTAATTTCTAACTCCTAAATCATCTGTTTGATGATCAGAAAGTGTCTAAGCACTTACGGCGATGAATCCTTCATTCTCTACCAACCAGTTTCTATTCTAGAGCAAGGTTATGCTTCTTTTCTTAAATTCATAGTTTAAGGCACATGTAACTAGAGGTTTTCTCACATGTGTCACTCCACCTCTCTTTTCTAGTTTCCTGTTGATCAGAGGTCCTAAGAACTCACTTCGATCACAATTCTGTTGTTTATAGGCGTTTCTAGAGTTCCTTTACCTTGAAGCAAGGGTTATGCGTGTATAAATCTTGGTAGCATTTTTATTAAGGTAAAGGAAGTTAGTGCTTATGCTTAAATTTTGAATTTCAAGTATGATTAATTGTTGTTGTGACAATATGATGATTTAATTGTAATTGAGATGAATGTTTTGGTAATAATGATGTTTTGATGTTGTGAAAATAATTCAAGT